ATGTCACAGCATCTCAATCAGATTCAGGTCAGGACTTTAACTAGGCCACTCCAAAGTCTTCATTTAGTTTTTCTTAAGTCTTTCAGAGGTGGACTTGCTCGTGTGTTTTGGATCATTGACCTAAAGCTGAAGCCAAGTGCAGCTTTAGGTCATGAACAGATGGCTGGAAATTCTCCTTCAGGATGTTTTGGTAGACAGCAGAATTCATGGTTCCATTTACCACAGCAAGTCTTCCAGGTCCTGAAGCAGCAAAACAGCAGTGGTAGTGTGATGTACAGACCGTCACACTACCACCACTGTTGGTATTTTCTGAAATGCTGTGTTAGTTTTATGCCAGACATAACGGGACTTAAACCTTCAAAAAAGTTCTATTTTTGTCTCATCAATCCACATAATATTTTCCTAGATGTCTTGGGGATTATCAAGCTGTTGCTTTGGCAAATATGAGAAATGGCCTGCATTTGTATAGTGCTTTTCTAGTCCCTAAGGACCCCAAAGTGCTTCACACTACATTCAGTCAGTCACACACTGGCGATGGCAAGCTACATTGTAGCCACAGCTGCCCACTGACAGAAGCGAGGCTGCCGGACACTGGCGCCACCAGACCCTCTGACCACCACCAGTAGGCAAACATGGGGTTAGTATCTTGCCCAAGATATTTGGCATGCAGCCAGGAGGCAGCCTGGGATCGAACCACCGACCTTCTGATTAGTGGCTGACCTGCTCTGCCACCTGAGCTACAGCCACCCGAGAAGAGTCCTGTTCTCCTTGAACACTCCTATTGATATCATTTTGCCCAGTCTCTTTCTTACTGTTGATTCATGAACTTTGACCTTAACTGAGACGTGTGAAGCCTGTGGCTCTTTAATATTGTTCTGGGTTCTTTTGTGACCTCCTGGATGAGTTGTCGATGTGCTCTTGGAGCAATTTTGGTAGGCCGGTCACTCCTGGGAAGCTTCACCACTGTTCCAAGTTTTCTTCATTTGTGTATAATGGCTCTCACCATGAATTAATGGAGTCCCAAAGCCTTAGACTGATAGAGGTCAATGACTTTGTTTCTATGTTTTTTCTTTAGATTGTGGCATGATGTGTTGATGTGTTTTTGAGATCTTTAGCCTGCTTCACTTTGGCCGCAGGTTGTATTTAAGTAACTTCTTGACTCAACAGGTCTGCGGGTAATCAGGCCTGAGCGTGTTTTGTGAAACTGAACTCAGCTTTCCAAAAATGAGGTTAATCCCAGTTAATTCATGATCTAACAAGAGGGCTATTACTTTTTCACACAGGTCCAGGTAGGTTTGAATTACTTTTCACCCTTAATCAGTGAAATCATCATTGATTAATCATCACTGCATTTTGTATTTACTCAGGTTATTTTTTGTCTAATATTAAAATTTGTTTGATGCTTGGTCTGTAACATGTCATTTGACAAATATGCAAAAATGCAAAATGTATATTGTAAGGCAAATACCCTACAATAATACAAAGAAAACTGAGTAAACCCCAACAATCAAACAACCCGCTATGAGTAAGCACTTTGGCAACAGTGGGAAGGAAAAACTCCCTTTTAACAGGAAGCAGAGGCAGAAGCAGGCTCAGGGAGGGGCGGCCATCTGCTGCGACCAGTTCAAAAGCCTATATCGCTGATGTGGTATGGGGTTTCACCAGATGAAAACAATGGGTCCCTCATACCATGAAATATACAACAAAGAAGACCCGGGAATTTTAAGCAGCTAGAATCCTCTATCAGGCACAAAATGGGACATTCCTCTCCCCAAAAATGTTTCTCAGTTTAAACATTTTATGTTTTTCAGTGTTTTTATTTACATTTCTCAACTTCTGTTAAACTGGGGTTGTAATCTTTAAGTTGTCATTGGATATTTAAAACTTACAATTAGAGTGTCATTACACAAAAAGCATATTGTTCACAATAAACAATGTACTTTTTGTGCTTATAAAGAGCATTTTATTCAAATGTTAAATTTTGCAACCGGTAGTAAAAGTTGTCTCAATACGTAACAAATAAAGGCCACATCAAACAAAACCATGTCTATACAGTCTAAGGTCAAGACTATCACACCAAGACTGTATGCGGTTGGATTGATTTTCCCTCTTTCCCTACGATATGCATCCACTTAAGCACTACGGACGTCACAGTGTGTTCTGAGCTGCTTGTAACAACAGAGAGAGTGCACACTGAATTTTCATGAGTACAGCCTTGGTCTATAGTCCCAAATGTGATTGATCTACTGTATAATCTGGCAACAGTTTGAGTTCAGTAGCGGTTATAAATGGTTACATTTACAATCTGTAATTTATGTAAGGGCACACATCTGTGCTTTGTGTTTTTCTTTTGGGTCAAGGTGGGGCCCCATTTATAATTGGTCAAATGTCTATCACATTAAACCTCAAAAGATTGAACTGATTTAAAGAGAAGTAAGTATATCACAAAAACAGTATAAAGTAGGTAATTTGCTGTGGAACCAGTCATTTATGATCCTATAGCTTTGTTTGTTTTTTAGTCATGTAAGACTCCCACAGTGGGTTTGTATAATGCAACACTCACAATCAATTTCACGTGGTATATATTTAGGAAAGATGGACATAGGTTTAAGTACACTATTTTTGTTTGTCTTTTAGCTGAAAGATAGAAAAAAGATGCAGTTAGTTGGTTGTTTCTGACATTTTAATGCAAGGTGACATTTACTCAAGGATCTTTGTAGGATTCCCTGACTGTGCAGTGTTGTGTTGTATGTGTCTGCCATCTATTGGACTCACAAGAAACACCACTTGGCAAATTCATGTGACATATTTAGAAATAAGTTCTTATCAATAGAGGTAGATAACTGTAATTCATTTTTGGCTTTTGCATATTTAAAACTGTTACAGATAAAACTTGAGCTAAGTTTGGATTAAAATATGCATCAATTAAATACAGTTGTTATTAACTCATTATCTCTGTGAATAGAAAATGTTCTAAAGAGATGAACATCTGAGGGACGGGGGGGAAGCATAGCAAGTTGGTAGTGCCCACCTAAAAGAAACATTTTTGTGTTTATGGCAAAGAGGAACGGTGGTTTGTAAAATAGAGGAAAAAAATAAATACCCACAAATGTATTAAAAGAGCTCACTTATATCCTATAACATGTGTTGCGGTCAGAGCTGTTGTAGGACGCCAGGAAAAAGAGGGAGTGGGTGAGTGCAGGAGTCGGCTGAGCACGTGCCTGCAGAGGTCCTCTGGTCTCTGTCTGGGATCAGCCTGCCACACCAGCCCCTGGGCTAGACTCCCATCAGCCCCATACCCTGTCTTCTCTGAGCCAGACACCACCATGACCACTTGTATTGAGAGCTCTGACCGCCATTGTGCCACAGTAGAGTACACAAACAAACAGTGCAGACACACACCGGTCTGCTCTCCTGCCATTACGTCTACTCAAGCCCACTTGGTTTAGTCATACCGTAGGTCTCCATTGCAAGCAGCTCCTTCTTGGCTTGGGATGGAGAATTTGGCAGAAGATATTTGCTCATTTGTCCCCACACATGTATGTGGTTTGGTAACTTTGCTAGGGACTGCTGCCCCAGTCTTTCTTACAGTGGAGCTTCAGAGCAAGCCAGGCCTTTTCTGGGTAATGTCCTCCCACACAGTCTGACTATACAGATTTTTGCTGTTCGTTTCCAGCTGTTTACATCCTTACAATGTGTGTGTGTGGTTTTTTGTGGATTTTGGTATGCACTATAGAAAAGCCGAACATGTGGACATCTATTATCATCTGTCATCACAGCAGTTCACATTGTTTCATCATTTACTTCCAGCTATTCCCACCTCTTCTCCAAATAAGGCCATACAAAAAAAAGTCAGGCTACTCACTTATATGTCATCCAGAAATAAAACAGTTACAATGCATGCATTAACCATTTGCTCAGAGTATAGCTTAACGTTGTGCACATGCACATGCACTCACATCCACAGGCACACTGCATTTCTTCTTTCTTTTCATGTTGACCACAAGATTAACCTGCTGCCCTCTATTTCCTCTGAAGAGGATTCCCCCTCCTCCCCTTCAGTAGAGCCTTAAAATCTATCACAGACTTTAGATCCTGATGTATGTGCCCCATCCTCTGTTTTCTTTGAAGTCTTTAACTGGCCCTGGCCACATTGCAGTCTGATAGCTGGACTGTCGCTTACACATATTCAGCTTGTTTCTGTCTGAGATGAGCCCCTCACCCATCCCAACATCCTTAGTATTGTCTGAAGAGGGAATATCTGGTTTAAACATAATTTGTCAGGCACAATTAAAAATACAGTTACATGGGTTCAAGTGACTCTGGCCTTTAAGTGTTGCTATCACTTTGTTTCCTATTGTTACTTTGCCATTTAGGAAAATCTTACATTTCCCAACTTCTAAACTGCAAAAAGATCACAAGTACTGATATGTCTGAATGCTCAAAATCAACTTTAGTACTTGTAATGACGATGGCACTCTAGGCAAAATTATAAAGGATCACTAATGTGATAAAAATACATTTCACATATGCTTACATTTAAAATATTTCTTCACTATTCTGAGCCATCAGGATACAAAGTTTGAATTTTTGGTTTTGTTTAATTCCAGTTTTAGCTTGTAAATCCTGACATCTTTATACTGTTGTCAATTCCATCTCCATGTGTGAATTCTGCCTTATAATATATTTTATTTCAGTCTTTACATCTGTTTCTGAGATCTTAACATTTATGGATTACTTGTATTAAAACAGCCAGTAGTGAGCCTTTGAATGACATGAGCCCAAATAATATTTATACTACAGTTGGTATACTATGTTAAGGTAGTAAAGCAATTTGAAATTACTTTGCATTGCATACCTTGTTTTACATTAAAACTGTGTTGGGTATGTCAATGCCAAACATGATGAAGGATAGGAAAAAGGACTGAACCAAAGCTGTTAAAATAACAAACAATTTTGGTCTTCAAATGTTATCAGGAAAAAACAACAGATATAACAAATACTGTAACAAAAAAAATAATGTTTATTCCTTTAAAAAAGTTTGTGCACAGTAGGAAAGGAAAGGTAGGTGTTTTAAAAACAGAGGCTTAAACATCATGAAAAGAGTATGGCTGAATGTAATCCCCATATCCTTTAAGGGCCTCTCCAAATGCATGCACGTTCAATTAAAAAAGTCTTTTTAAAATATAAAGTTTCTTCATATTTGTGCACATAATGCTGAGCTTGTCATCAAAACAAAGTGTATTGCTCTTTTCAGAAGCAGCTAGGAGCATTTCATCTCAGCAACAGTCAAAAGCAATTCCATAGTCAACACATAACATTAAAACCTCGACACTGATATGTCCATTGATATAACAAAACCAATGTGTACAGTGTTGACAATGGATGTCTTATATTGTGATTGTTGGTAAAATCTTGACATTTTCAGAACCAAAACTCTGAGACAAACACATGGACGTTGACGATGTTATGGCCAGAGTCGCCCTGAATTGTCAGGTTGCGCATAGATAGCTTGAGTACTGTCATCGCTGGACCAATCAGAGGCTTCACCTGGCGAACAATACCTGGAAAAGACAAAGATGAATGAGAAAAAGTAGTATGGCTAAATGTGTAGATCCATGCTAAGCAAGACTACTTGTTGTATCATGACATGTCTCAATAATCTCAATAAACAAAAAAAGAATTATTTTGTTCAGAAGCTTGAGAGTTGGTTAGCTTAAGGAACTACAATCAGTCAGAATAATTTTCCTCAAAAAACTGTTGTCATTGTGGAGTCTTTTTGTCATTATTAATGTAGTTCTGTGTGTTTTAAATATGGTTTCTTTGTTCACCCTAGTGATATCTAGCTCTGGATAGTTTGGGTTTATAGTGTTGAGGATCAAAGTGTTTGCTCTTACCTCACTGCAATTAAGGACAGTTTGTGATTGTATTTGTAATTTACCAGCAAAAGTGAAAAGACAGTAACATGTAGTCACAAGCTAGTCACAGCTTGCTTTAACTAGCCATTCTTCAGTCGTTAATTTCACATGTCTGATAGCTCTGTCAGTCTTGCATATCCTTAAATTATCTGTCTAGACAGGTTGCATAATAGCTTAGAACATATTTTTGAGTTTCAAGCTTATTTTCTTCCAACTTCAATAACTGAATTTGCAGCATACTATGGTTATACACATCTAGAGTCTTAGGACATGAAGTTTAGTCAAAATTGAATTTATAAACTACTAATTTACAAAAACAGTTGTCTCAAGGATGCTTTATATTGTAAGATAAAGACCCTATAATATTATTATAGAGAAAACCCAACAATCACACAATCCCCTATGAGCAAGTACTTGGCAAGTGTAGGAAGGAGGAACTCCCTTTTAACAGGAAGAGACATGTGGTGGAACCATGATCAAGGAGGGCCAGCCATCTGTCATGACTTGTTCAGGGGTGAGGGTAGAACCTGAAAGCTGAGGGAAGTCCCTTAGCAGACTAAACCTTTAAGTTTCTAACCCATAGGTTTTTATCAAAAATCAAAGTCTTAAACCTAATTTAAAAGTACAGTTAACGCTGCTCACGACTGTGCAGCAATGCACAATTCGAACCACATCATCAAGTTCGCCAATGACACGACTGTGGTGGGTCTCATCAGCAAGAACAAGTCAGAATACAGAGAGGAGGTGCAACAGCTAATGGACTGGTGAAGAGTTGTCAAGAGCACCAAATTCTCCCACCATCCATTCTCACCACCTTCTACAGAGGGACTATAGAGAGCATCCTGAGCACGCACACCTTCATACATCAAGTTGCTTTTTGCATACTTCTCAGACTTTTGCACATTTCTATTGCACTGTTGTGTCTGCACTGTCTTGTGTCTGTATCATTCTGTTCTGTATGGTGTTGCACTGTCTTTGTTTTGTTTTGTTTGCAATTTTTGCACATTGCACCTTAAGTACTCCGGTGCTTATTGTCTGTTATATGTCATATGTGGCACCATGGTTTGGAGGAACGTTATCTCATTTCACTGTGTACTGTACCACTGCACGTGGTTGGAATGACAATAAAGCCACTTGACTTGACTTGTGTCTTTCCCAAATGCAAACTGGAAGCTGGTTCCATGGGACACAGGGCGAACAGTTGAAAACTGCCTCCCATTCTACTCTTGGAAAGTCTAGGAAACATTAGTAAGCCAGCAGCCTGAAATTGAAGTGGTCTATTGGGATAGTATAATACTATGACGTCTTTAAGGTAGGATCATTCAGGACTTTATATGTAACAAAAAGGATTTAACAGTAAGTCAGTGAAGAGAAGCTAATACAATGTATGTGAGATGTATAATCTTTCCTTCTAGTAGTGCTCTCACTGGGGTACTTTGGATCTTTAAAATATCCTGATGATAAGGAATTACAATAGTCCTGCCTAGAAAGAGTAGTATTACAGCAGGATTTTCCAAATTTTAGCGAAACTGTGTAGACGAAAGGAGGCAGACCTAGATATTTGATTAATGTGTCATATCCTATACAAAAATGACTCCAAGATTCCTCACAGTAGTATAAAACTTTGTTAATTTGTCTAGATTTATAACTTTAAAACAATACAGGTTTTTATGTTTTTTTAAAGGGACATGTACACAGGAAGCAATTCTGTGGTTCCCTGGTTATATAACCCTCTAATGTATAAGTCAATCAACTGTCATGTGTTAATCAATGATATTATTTGCTCTCACAGGTAGTGGGTTCAACTCCTTCCCTTCAAGTTGAGAACGTTATACTTCAGGACCCACTCAGTTTGCATTGCCAGTGGTTAATTTTTTGTTGGGACTCGCAGTCAGAGAATATCATTAAGTATCTACTATCTGGGGCTCACCCCATCACTGCAAATCACTTCCTGTGTGATTAAGACATGTCTGCAGTTTAAATAATTGATTTGTGCCGTTTGGCTTCATTAACAAAGATGACTATCATTTGAACGACACAAACTTTGTAGCATTTTTTTTTATATCTGCTAAAGGTTTTATGTATTAAATGAAAACTATTGGACCCAGCACAAAACCTTGTGGAACTCCATGACTAGATTTCATTTGTGAAGAAGACTTTTTTATACAAAAAAATGGGAATCTATCGGATAAATATATTTCAAACCAGTCAGTGCATTTTCTACTAATGGTGTACACTATTCCCTGTAGTAAAATGTAGTAAAAAGTTTCTGTCCACAGTCCAGTGTGCTAGATTGTTAACTTCCACGTCCACTGACTGAGATCTATTGATCCATCCACAAAAAAGGGATGAATCAATAGATGTTTCTTCAGTAGGAAATATTTAACTGTTCATTAATCAGGCTTTTGAGCAACAGATTTGGGAGTTTTTTAGCTCTATTCTTCACTGTCTGTGCAATCAGGCCTGTCAACTCAAAACAAAAAGTCAAACTGAATATGCAGAGATTCTATGTTCTCTCCCTCCTTTTCTCTCACAATGCAACGATTAATAAATTATAAAGTGTATATGTGACTTGTTTTCTGTCTTGAGATTTTGGCCTAGATATTGACCAGCAAACCTATTAAAAACAGAGCATGTTAACTACCAGACACCGTGATGGTAATAGATGCTACTGTAGAAACAAATATGTATAGTTAAAGATCACTATAGCAAATGAAAAGTTCTGAATAACAAAGTAAAATGAGGCACAGTTCAAACCACCGCACGCAAAGCTAACATATCACAACTCTATCAAAACTATGTCATTGAGAATAGAGTGGAGGCTGGAAGTTGGGTCGATCTTTAAAGAACAGTGAAGTAATCATCAATGAATACTGAATAGTATTTATTGCTTAAAATGCGTTTCCCTACTTTTTTGGCATCAGCTGATCAATTTAGATGAGTTTCAAATAACCTTTGCTGTTAATGAGCCAAAGGTCTGCCAATGAACAACCCCATAAACAGAAGACACAGTGATATCATGGTAAAACAGATGGAAGAATAAACATACTGCAACAGAGCATTACTGAATCCCCATGGAATTCATTGGGTGCTCTTTTTAAGTGAACATGCGATTAGAGGGGGGAAAAATGCCAGTGTTTACACAAGCTGTCAACAGACTTTTCTCTGCAGAGGGCTGGGGACATTTCAGCTCTGGCCTGTTTGAACAGCTATCGCTGGTGTAGTCAGGCAGCACAATCATCACACTGTCCTCCTATCACACCTTCAGCCGCCCTCTTTCTTTTTCCCCATTTACTTCTGCTTCTCATACTCATCTGAGTCAGTAACATGTTAAAGCCTTTAGTAGGATGACTCAAGAGTTTAACTCAGCATGGATCAAAATGACAGATCACTGCCTAGATCACTATGAATTATGAGGCTCTTTCCTGTGGTACTTGTAAAAAAAAAAGGCAGTAAAATCCATTTGGTTGTCATTCACTACAGGGCAAATGATGATCCATTATGAGCCATGCACTGGGTCCTGTGGGACACTGGCATTGTATGATGGCCCCCCACTCACATATTCGCCTTTTTTTCCCTCCCTTCTCTTCCCTTCCTGAGGGGGGCTGGCGTTTGTGGCACCATCACTGTGGCCCACAAGGCTAAATGAGTCCCATGTGTTTGATGGAGGGGAGCAGTTGCAGTCACGCGATACAGCCATGGAGGCATTTCTCCAGGAATCGATCTTTAACTCTGGGAGGGGCAAGCTATAGGAACTTAGACTGGCGTCTCTCCTTCTCTCTGTCACTTTATTTTGCTCTCGTGTCCTTCTCCGAGCCAGGAATGTGGGCACACAACAGATTCCAGCAGATTCTGGTGATAAGCACTTGGAGAAGTGTGGAATGGGGCCCACTTCTACCAGGGTTGCCCCTTGTTTTGGTGTTTTGGGATTCTGTTGCGTAGTGACACTAAAGGGGCCCGGGTCTGAGATTTTATTGTTTCCAAACCATTAGCGTTGTCAGAGAGAACTAACCTTTTCTTAAACCTAACAACAGCTGCAATATTAAGAAAATAACTGACATGGAAAAAGAGATTGGATTTTGAGTCGGAAAATTATTTTCAGACATAAGCCAGCTGAGATGGCATGCAACGCCAGTGGAGTTAATCAGTGCAAAGGTTCATTCTTTGCTCATTTGCTTAAATCAAACGAGATCTGATCAAAAGCTTCCGTCCTGGGATGAGCAATCATGCAATGAAGATGAGTAAGTTGTTATGAGCACAATATGGACCACCGCAAGGACAGATGGGTTTAAGTCCACATTAAGGGCATTTTTAAAAAATGTTATTATTGCATTAATTGTGGCCTATATCTAATTACGGCTAAACACTTATAATCAGGGCCAGCTGAGGTTAAGTTTTCCATTAAAACTCCAGAGGATGGTTTCTGTGAAAAGTAAAACAAAAAAAATCTTACCACATAAATAAATAACAAAAACACAGAGACTAAACTAAACTAAAATTTATTTAGGGCATCTAAACAAGGCTATGTGGTATGTGTGTCGGCCCCATTAGAGTTTTGTAAATTTGTTTGTGGTCTAATTAGCACATGCAGAGTGCAAAAGTGTGCTGTCCGGAATTTTTGCAATGCCTCGTCCAAATCCTTCAGT